ACCGTTGCTGAACGCGTTGGAATGTGTCGAGCCAACAAGAAAGTGGTCAAAGGTGATCCTAATTTTAGGATTTATTCAATTACCACCCAATTTCAAAACTTTTAATAATGAATTGTTCATTTTGGAGTTAAGTTTCTAAACCATTTATTTTGTTATTAGTATTTTAGTGAATGAAGCATCAAAAACAATCTCTTAGTTCTACGTCAACAATGCGGTCGTGCTCTAGACACAACCCTTAACTTTTTAATTCATATTATTCCCGATAAATAGTATTTCTTCCTTTTGAGCAGCTTGAATTCATTCTCTGCGCATCAAACCCAAAGCGTATTATTCATTGAATAAAATATTATTGTATTATGTTCAATAATTTTGAAAGGACTTCTGATGTTCATATGTTCTAATTTATGATTTCTCGTTGGGAGTGATATTAGCTTCCCATTCATATTGCTTAAGTATCGATTTCACATGGTGACCAACACTATGGTTTTTTGTTTTTTTGCCGATTTTTGCAAACTCTCTTGAACAGTCAACTGGATATTTTGAAATTTGAATAGTGTCATATTAGAAAAATAATGTTTGCGATTCGACTAAACTTCCAATAATAGTTCTGTGGTAAAACATATGAATAATTTAAAAAAAAACAATGACGAGATAAAAATTTTGGAAACTCATACAAAAAAAAATCTGTAGGAAATGTGATTACTCCTTCATTAAAGAAATTTTCAGCCGGAAGCAGATTTGTCTCTTACTATTTAAACTTAATTTTGGTATTTGCAGACTTGTAGAAAATATACAAAACCCTTTAATATATCAAGATTTAAGGATTTCAAAATTTTTAAATAGATTAATTCTTCAGAATCAAAATTTTGTCATTTTTCAGGATTCTAAACTTTAAAGAAATTATACAGATTTTTGTCAGCCAGATACAGATTAAATAGATTTTTTTTTTCAATAAAAATACAGATTGACACTTAGAAAAAAAAGTTGGAGGGTGGTGTACATGACACAACCGCATTGTTGACGTAGGACTACGAAATTTTTGTTCGATTTTCTAGTTTGTTGCTTCGGATATTGTTTTGGAATTAAGAGAATTTCATAACTCAACTCTTTTGTAGAAAGTTGTGGTGGCCCTGAAAAGGGCCGATTGTTTTTGGGTGGTTTGTATAACCAGTTGATGGTTGATGAAGTGCCTTCCGAGATTGATGTTGTCCTCGGAGTGTTAGGTCTAGGGCAACATGGAGGCCCTGCAATACGGTCGAGAACATGACACGATGTTGGATTAATGATTCACCTTAGGCATGGTGGATGGCATCGATGATACAGCAGTAAATAATCAAGATGCTCTTTGATTATGATGTCTGTGTTTGGGAAACAATCAAAAAATGAAATTTTGATTGCCTTTCTTTTTGAACACGCCGGTAAAGTACATAGACTCCTCCCATCATGAGTAGTTTGCTATCAATTAGCGACACTGGCTCCTCTCCTTTTGAACTAGGATTGGGCTATCTTGGATCGATATTTAAAAGATCGATTTTTTTCATCCCGATTTCCGATTTTTCGGATCGATTCTTTGTCCACGAAAAGATCGCTTTTCGATCTTCAAAAAGCAATAGGTGTTAAATTTGTAATTATATTTACATCGAAAAATCGATTAACTCTCACCCCAGACTGCGAGGTAAATTTAAGGAACATAACGTCAACATCAGCATTGCTCTCTACAATGGCGTCACTATTTGCGTTTCCGATGTTTATGAATACAGCAACATTTGAAGGTTTTCGCTACCTCTCTCCTGTGCTCATTGCTCCTTACCGTTACGGCAACATTCAATTAAATATACAAATAATTGAAAGAATTTCTTTGGGTACCAACGTAAACAAGCGTATACATAGTCCGAAAGTGAGGATAACAATAACAAACCAAAATTTTTGGCTAGAGCGAAAGTAAGGATAGCAAACTATGCACTTGGGATTATGCATGTGTACGAGTTATAAACGTCAGAAAGGTCAATTGAAATAAAAACCATAAGATCGATCTATCAAAGATCGATTCTTTGGTACTGATTTAATCAGTGGATCGATTCTAGAGTCAAATATAAGATCGATCCGTCAAGATCGATCTTTCTCTGAAGATCGCCCAATCCTATTTTGTACTCACTGTAATCTGTAGTTATTTACGGTTCGGACGTTTTCGAAGATGTCGCGCAGCAGGAAAATGCATACGATGAGAATTTCTCAATTGATGAAAGTGAAACGAAAAAAAATTTAATACACCGATAAGACATATGAACATAATTTATTTCGCGAACAAATTATTTGATTTTTGAATCATTTTGATGTATTTAGTGACAATTGGGTTCTTAAATTTTGAAAAATTTATCGGTTTTTTATGTATCATCTGAAAAAGCTCCGTTTTCTGAGCACAGCGATATTTGTTCGAACCCCCACACTTTCATCTCGATTTTTAAATCAAGATTTAAAGCAAAATAATAACTTCACTGTTTGAAACTGACAGCTCGCTCCCATACAAAGTGACACAGAGGGGTGCTTATAAGGTGAATTTTGCAAATGTAATCGTACTTATTTAAAATAGTTACAGTGTACCAAAATTGATGAAATGATGATTTTAATGCAGATTACGAATATGCATTTCCTCAATACCCTTAAAGAACCCAATTGAATGGGTGAATTATGAGTTACTCTATATATATTATATTCTAACTCTTTACTGAAATGAACTTAGTGGCCCTGAAAAGGGCTCCAATGGGTTGATGGGTCGATAAGCCGTCCATGGCCGTGACGGTTTTGTGCCTGGCGTGTTCAGTATAGGTGACGGCATCGCGCATATTGTCAGCACATCTCGGGTTTCCTCGGAGATCAGACCGGAGACACTTGACATAACCACGTCGAGCCAGACGACGAATGACAGGCTTGGCAGTACCCTTGATTTTTCACCTAGAACCTTCCGATGACGCTTGGTGTCTCCTTTTCCGAGCACTTAACACTTGTTTCTCGTTGAACGGGTGAATCGAAACTGAGCCTAAAGCGTAGATAGCAACCTCTTATATAGACAACCAGCTCTGCCGGTACCATATTTTCTCGCTTCCAATTGGCTATATAACGACCAAAACTGTGTATGCCAAGCATGGGTGTGGGTAGCATTGGTGCTCAGCACGGAAAACAAATCCTAGGAAAAAACAGCATTTTGTGTGGTCGTTGCGGGCGTGTGGTGCTGAATTGGCAACAAAATGTTCCGCAATTGTATCCTCCCTATTCGTACACACCCGAAGATCGGAGGCGAATGTCACTTCGACTTGTTTCATCTAGGAACCATTCTCTGATGACTGTGTTGGGGAAGCAGCACATGCATGTACGTAAATGGTGGATTTGTTAGTTATTTCGACGCTTTTGGACAATGTTTGACATATACCACTTTTTCAATAGTTTCAATTTGAAAATCAACAGTCAAGAGCATTGTTATCGATGCGTAGAAATGTTTCTGATCGATTGGTGATAAAATAATTGAAATTGGTCCAGGGGCAGCTAAGTTATTAACGTTCAAAATCTTTCATAATTTCATTTTTCGCTTTTCATAAATTGTACCCCCATCTTCCCGAAAGACGTAGTCCTACGTCAAAAAGGGGCAACACTGTGTGGAAGTGCACCTAGAACGATAAGTTGTGAGCACGCAATAAGCTAATATGCAATACGCAAAAAGCTTGAAATGCGAAGAAGAAGGAGAAGAATTAGAACGTTTTTAAAATGATCTTTACCAAATATGAACAATCATTTCATAGTCAAAAGTAAAACAGAATTGCAGTTTCTTACTGCAGACAGAAAGATTACAATCTCTCATCACACACTCAAAGCAAAACAGTTGAAACTGTAGTACTTGTTTTGGTTTTATTGCAAAGGCATGAATTGAACACCCTACGGAGTACTTTCTTTATGCTTGTTTTGAAATTAAAAAAAATAATGCCAATTCTTCTACGATAAAACTAATAACTAATTGTCAATGTATATGATTCTTTAAATAACAATAAACGGTGGTGGTTCTGGTTGAATTCTATTTGATTAAATATAGGCAACGGATATCAATGGATCAGCGGCGTCCCGTAACCTCACTTTTTACCTGTGCACCAACTTTAAAAACCAGATTTAATGCCATATTCATACTTGAATCGGTTGAAAAATGCATTCACTCTTCTAGTTAACTCGATATCTATCCATTGCAAGCAATATTTTGATAATTGTTTATGTTTTGAGAGTTGGTGCACAGGTAGTTTGAGGTTAAGGCAACGCCACAGCAATGGATGGTAATTTTGACCATATGTATCACTTATATGAAAACCTATTGTATTTGACATTTAATTTTTTTTTAAACTTTACCATTAACAATATTGGATGCCATATAATATTTTTTATCACTTTTTTACAGAAAAGTGCCACTTTTCGACACTGTTTTAAATAACACAATGGGCTACATTTCAGAACTAAAAGAACATTGTCAAAAAGTACTACTTATCAGCATCCAGTGCTGAAAAGCTCTACTTTTCGACTCTCGTTTGAGTGCAAAAAAATGTTGTATGCAACTGGCAAGCCTCGTATTGAGAAAATCTTCTGATTTGTAACTTACAGATTTTTCAACTAAATCAAGAATATCACTCACCTTTATTAATCCAGAACGAGGCCTGCGTTAGATAATGGCCTCCAGGTGATTGTCTTCTCTTTAGTCTATAGTTGTCTTGCGTATATCGTCAATTTCAGAAATTCAAACTCCTGAAACGTTGACTCCGACCAAATTGATGCTCGGTACTTTGGTTCCTTCGTACTCCCTCCGTTCCAAGCACTCAATCACACCAGTGTCACTGATAATTTCGAAATCAGTCAATGCACACTCAGCTCCGGCAACTCGTTATCAAGATCAAAAATCATCGGCACACGGCTCATAGAGACACAATTTTTCTTACAACTTTCTTCATAAATTATTTAACTCCGCTACCCGTGCGACGATCTTTCACCGATGAAGACATTCCGTGTTGGTAGGTACTTCTTTCTGTTTTATATTTTCCCCAATACGCGCACACTTGATCACCGGTTTCGGTTAACTTTTATTGCTTTTCCTGTATTTCCTTTCCTTCTGGGATGCACTGACGGTTTCTTTTTGCTTCCTTCGATGTTGTTATGTAACGATTTTTTGTTGTTTCGTATGTGCTGACGGGATTCCCGTTTATTTTTTTCTCTCTCTCACTGAAATTGATGATCAATCAGCTGGGATTCACCGCTCCTAATAGACACTAATCAATTTTAACTCTCTGAAAAGACACAATGAAATAAACCAATCGAACCATCTCACACTGGAGTCACCTTCCACGCAGTATCACACCTTCGCCTCAACTGGAGCCGAGAAGGTTCCTCGGGAACTTCGGCCACACACTCCGAAAACAAAATTCCGTTCACTGATAAGAACACTGTCTGAGCTGGACTTCTCCGCGCCCCCTCCCCACTCACAAACACACTACTATCCCACTGCCATTCGCAACGTTGCAGGCCAAAGGTGTGATAAAACCGAGTCACTGATGATTGAAATACATGGAAAGAACCCTTTTCTGTTCCGCTGTTCAACCCACTAAATTTAACGAAAACACGCGCTCGCCTATGTTGAACTCACAGCTCCGGAATCGTTTCGTAAATAAAGTGCTGTTATAGTTCGATCAATGTGTGTAGTTGCTGTTATCACGAAAATTAAATATAGGCTAGTAAGCGGTACGACGGCCCTGTTTTCCAAGGGGTCCAACGAGTGCACTGACTGTGATCCAAAACTACTGCCGCTTCGCGACGCGTCTCGCCATCAACCGCCGAAATGCTACTGAGTTTCGCGCTTCAACTTCACAGCAGCAGCAGCAGTAGTAGTTCCATCCAACCATGTGCGGTCGAGCGAGGGGCAATGCCAGAGTTTCTTCGACTAGGTGGTAGGTAGGTACCGAGGACCGCACGTTCGTTGATCGTCCAAATGAAGCAGTAGTGAGTTGTTCATTATGAATTGCTCGCGGCTTGGTTTGGTTGGTTCGTTGGTTGGTTGTTCCTGTTGTTGTTGTCGTAGTGATCGTCCGCGTCGGTCGTCGTGGTTTCAGGTAATTCACTCCTTAGGGTGAGTCAAGTTTGTATGGAAGGTCACAACTTACTGTTCCCCACTGCTGTTGCGATTTGCATTGAGATCTGGATTTGCGAGAGAAATGTAAGGTTGGGAAAATGTATGAGAAACGAAAATGAAAATATTTATTTGCATGTTAAATAATCCAATATTGCTTTGGGTATTACAACATGGACCCACCCTATTGCTCACACTGTTGATGCCGCCCGGCTTGATACTTTCGGTACAGTACACTACTATCAGCGCAAAAAAGGTGAGTCGATACTAGCGCTCGTTTTTTTTTCCGCGATGATAAGGGTTTTTCGGTTTAACGAAGGGGAGAGAGATCATAGGGTGGTTGTTTGCTAAACGGTAATTGCTTATTGGTTCACTATAGGTAATTGCGCTTGTCATTTCGCTCGTTGATTAAATCTGAAGATTTGTGTTTTTCAAAGTTAAACACATCCAATAATACTGAATCTTTGTGAGTCTAAGATTGCCCATTTTAATTACTGTTAACAGGAGAAACTTTAGACACATGTAGTGTAGAGAACAACTTCGGCCTAATTTCAGTGTTAACAAGTCAATTATGCTTTTGGTACGATACTTTAGTTAATAAGCTACCGAACGAAGTCTATGAGAACGCGTGATATGGAGGTTTGCACCCATAATTCCCAAAAACAAAAAAAACACTCCGACCGAATCAATTTTTAGCTGCATCCGATAGGCCGAAGTGAATTCATTGGCGTTTCAATGCGTTAGGCCGAGTTTTGAATCCGTAAGCTGAGTTTGGCGTCAAGAAGCAGTGTTAGACTTTTGACAATCTCTCAACGATTGGTTTCTCTTATTAAATCTTACGGTACAAACGGAGAGGTAAATAAATTTGGAAGCTATCAGTAATAAAAACAATCCGTTTGGTGCTAAACTGCGCTAGATTTAGAAAGACTAAGTGCGGGTTGTGCTTAATAGCCCGGAAATGGGGTAGTTAACAATATTTATCTAAAAAAAATCTGCATTTATACCTACCAGTTGGATTGTATTCTAATATTACTGATCTGGAAAATGACAGATACTTATTTAAATTGAAAACTATCATAGTTAACAAGTGTACATTGTGCCCAATATTTAAAGTTTTGATCCAACAATTGTTCCAAATATAAAATAAATTTGTGACTAGAGTTTACAAAAACGGCAGTGCAAATAGCAAAGCAGACTTGGGTTATAAACTGAAGCCCACCCGGTAGTTTTTATCACGGTTTATTTAAATGTATGATTGTTTCATAAACTGATGTTTCAGCTTACTGAAAAAAAAAGATTTCGAAATTTAAATTTCATCCGTGCTTCAGTCACCTAGAAGTTTTGTGTTTAGTTTCGACTGGGAAAATCATTTTTTCCCGATTTTAATGAAATTATATTAAGCTTCATAACAAAACGATATAGTGGTTCTCAGAATGCCGTAGAAATTGGTAGTTTTGTTCCTTATCGCAATATATTAGACGCATGTTTTTCTTATTTTGTCACTAAGGTGACCATTTCCATGTTAAGGTGGTCCAAAAGTTTGATTTTTTTTAAATGGCTTTTCCCATAGGAATACTTTTTAGGAAAAATATAATGATATTAAAAGCTATGGGGTTTAGTATTGAAAAACATTGATTGTATTCGTTTTTATGGTTTTCATGGTTTCTAGTTAGAGGGCGCAATATGTTTTTATATTTTTCCTTGAGAATTTTGACTGTTTTACCACAGACAAACAGACATAACACTCGCAAGTTGTTCATCGAACAAGCATTTAACGGTCAATTTAAAAGTATCGTAGTTGGTAGTACCACCACCTGTGGCGCGTATAGTCAATTCCCTTGCGTTTGACGTTTACACACTACCGCCATCTGTTCAGCGTACTATCCACTACAGTGTACTCAACAGATGGCGGTAATGTTTTAGCGACGATGTTCTATAGTGAGAAATATTCAATGTGTTATGTCTGTTTGTCTGTGGTTTTACACTTCATATTAAAAAATCAGCCATTCGTTTTTTTTTTTCTTTTTTGAGTAATATTGTTTTGAAGTAATTAAGTTTTGGGTTTTCGCTCAATACTCCTATGCGACTAGACTACCATGCGTCGTAGCCATGTTACAGTCACTATAAATTAATATAGACGCATGGTAGTCTAGTCACACATTTTTTGGACCACCCTAACATGGAAATTGTCACCCTAATGACAAAATAAAAAAATACAGGTTTAATATTTTGCGATAAAAAACAAAACTGCAAATTTCCACGAAATTCTAAAAACCACTTTATTGTTTTGCTATGGAATGGCTGTATTTATCTAATTTCATTTGATTTTGGTAAGTACCGGATTGAACCTGAAGGCCAACCTTGAGACGGTTGCAAATAAAAACAACATTTGCACGATTGTTTCAGGCGTAACATTTGATAACGGCACAAAAGCATTTGTAAACAAACCTTCTAAAGGGCGAACACGAAATTATTGCGACACATTCAACAGGGCATAACTTTTTTACCATTGGGTAAAAATCAACCAAATTTTGCACACTTTCTCATTGATGTGTATTGTGTACATGCTGTCAAACTCGAAGTCGTGTTTTTCGATTCAACGAAAATGGAGGTGAACCAATGCGAGTTGAGAGAACAAATTCTTTCCAAACACCTGGAATTTCCTGACCTGTCGCACCGGCAGTTGGGAAAAATGTTGAACATTCACCATTCAACCGGCTCCAGAGTGTTGAAGCGGTTCCAGGAGCGGTTGACGTTGGACCACGGCAAAGGAGCTGGAAGAAAACCGGGACCGGAGAACAAAAAGACGGAGGGAAAGGTGAAGCGGATGATTAAAGCAAATCCCAACGTCTCAAGCCGTGATTTGGCTAAAAAGATCGGCATGTCGCAGAGCTACGTCCAGAATGCAAAGAAGAGAGCTGGACTACATACATACAAGGTACAGAACTTCCCAAACCGCGATGAGCGGCAACAATCGACGGCTAAAACTCGGGCACGGAAGCTCTACGAGAAGATGCTGACAAAATATGGCTGCTGTGTGATGGACGACGAAACGTATATAAAAGCCGATTTTAAGCAATGTCCGGGGTTGGAGTTTTTCACCGGCAAGAGCAAGTTCGATGTGGACGACAAATTTAAGAAGAAGAAAATGTCGAAGTTCGCCTCCAAATATCTCATTTGGCAGGCCATCTGCTCTTGCGGACTGAGGAGTGAGCCTTTCGTGACAAAGGGCACAGTAAATGGTGAGATCTACAAATCTGAGTGCCTCGAGAAGCGCCTTTTGCCGTTCTTGCAGCAGCACGACGAAGCTCCGCTATTTTGGCCAGATTTGGCATCATGCCACTATTCTAAAAGTGTCCTGGAGTGGTATGAGGCCAATTCTGTCCATTTTGTTCCAAAGGACATGAATCCGCAAAACTGTCCGGAGCAAGAAGACAGTCAAAGACCAGAAGGACATTTTAAGAAAATGAAAAAAAAAAAAAAACTGAGAAACTGGTACCGGATGACACTGTAAAGACTTTGATGGAGGGCATCAAGCGAAAATGCGTTCAATTTTACACTCAAGGCTTTTGATTTTTGAAGTAAATATATGTATAAAACTACCCTAAAATTTTTGTTTGATTCTAAACATTATAAGAAAATTGGCATGACATTTTCGGTGTCGCAATAATTTCGTGTTCGCCCTTTAAGGCCCTTTACACGCGAACCGAAGTACGCCCAAGCAAACCAATACCACTTTCGGAAAGGTGAGAGTTGCTCCTATCCGATGATGCTGTGGGTTTGCGTGAGCGTACTTCGGTTAGCGTGTAAAAGGTTTTAAAAAGTTTGTTTACAAAAGCTTTTGTGCCGTTATCAAATGTTAAGTCTGATTTTTTAACGCTTTTAAATGGTCCTAAAGATCTCCGAACAAGCATGGTATTAATAAAAATAAGTTCACTTTAACGGTGATATAGGCATGAATGAATAACAATTAACTTTCGCACCATTAAAGGATCTAACGTTTGGAAAAAAAATAATAATAAGCGATTCAGTATGTAATGGTTTGTATGAGAAACTTGTAATCTTGAAACTCAACAGTGCTCGTGCACTAAAGGGTGATACGGTCAAAATTTGGTCAAGGGAAAACGCGTGTAAATCGGTGAAATCGTTTATTTAAAAAAACAAAATAAAATTTCTTTTTCAAGTTCAATTAGTATAAAATTCAGGAAAAATATTCAGTTAGGCTTCCGCTTTTCCAAATCCGAATTGCCGGGCCTTACGCTTGACCCCTGCCATCAGATTTTGTACAGCCACCTTGTCCACCTTCTTCGCCGCAGAAAGCCAGTTTGCCTTGAACTGCTGCTCGCCCTTAGCAGTTTTTTTTGGTCTTCTTTAGGTTCCGCTTGACAATAGCCCAGTATTTCTCAATTGGGCGGAGCTCTGGCGTGTTGGGAGGGTTCTTGTCCTTGGGAACCACCTGCACGTTGTTGGCGGCGTACCACTCCATGGCCTTTTTACCGTAATGGCAAGATGCCAAATCCGGCCAAAACAGTACGGAACAACCGTGTTTCTTCAGGAAAGGCAGCAGACGTTTATTCAAACACTCTTTCACGTAAATTTCTTGGTTGACAGTCCCGGAAGCTATGAAAATGCTGCTTTTCAAGCCACAGGTACAGATGGCTTGCCAAACCAGATATTTCTTTGCGAACTTTGACAGTTTCATGTGCTTGAAAACATCTGCTACCTTTCCCCTTCCTTTTGCCGTATAAAACTCCTGTCCCGGAAGCTGCTTGTAGTCGGCTTTGACGTAGGTTTCGTCGTCCATTACCACGCAGTCAAACTTCGTCAGCATCTTCGTGTACAGCCTCCGGGATCGCGCTTTGGCCGTCGTATTTTGTTTATCATCGCGATTTGGAGTCACTACCTTCTTGTAAGTCGATAGTCCGGCTCGTTTTTTGGCTCGATGCACGGTTGTAGACGATACACCCAGCTTATTTGCGGCATCTCGGAGAGAGAGGTTAGGGTTTCGCTTGAAACTACCGGC